CAAGTGTTATGTTTCATCAAATATTTCCTCCTAATTTTCACTAAATGTGAAATTAGATTGCTAATTGACAAATTGAGTCTTAAATTAGGTTTATTTAAAAATCTTCCTAATTCAAGATTTTAAAAAGTTTTTATATTCAAGTTTATTTATTTCTCTCATATAGGACAGGATGAAATTATGTTCTTGATGATGAACATAACTAGAGTAAGAGTCATCCCCTTACTGACAGAATTCTTATTCCCAATGAACCTCTTTGATCTATATCTGTAATATAGACTATAGAATTTCTGTTGTTGGAACATCTACTCTCTTTTCCTCACTTTCCCAAGCCTGTGCAAATATTTTAAACACACACTGTGTCTTGTTTAGAGGTCTTTTATGTCTGAGTCTGTCCTATTGTGTATCTGAATTCCTTTTCTGACTAGTAGTGTGTTGGCAGAAATCATGTAATTCCACACTGGTTCAAAATTATGAGTAATAAAGGCTTATTTATTTAGGGGTGACTTGCTGATCACTGTCCTAGATCCTAGTTCTCTGCACACATAGGAAACAGGAACAGAGTCTAGCAGCCAAAAGCTATATTTGGAAGCAAGAGGGCAAGCACAGGCTTTACAACTGCATTTATAGTATAAGAGACCATTTCCAAATTGGCTGGTATCTTAAAGGCACACAGAACCTCTCCCGTTTGTTTAAATAAGAGAGTTCCAAACCCAATACAAAACTATATACACTAGGAAGAGATATCATGTATAATATTAGAATTACAACCAGCATAAACAATATTAAGCAAGGAATGTATGCTAAATGTTTTAGTAAACATTGTATTCTAAGGAATCTAAATCTTGTATTGGAAATGGCTTGGGTAGTCATAAGAGGGTAGTAACTATTACTATCTAATCTTCAACCTCATCAAAGACTTGAGAAGGGATATTACATTACTGGAGTAGGCAGGAAGTGCAATCAAGCAGCTTGCAAAATGTGCAGTAGACAACTGGCTACCTTTAGCAATCACCCAAAGTCTCATTTGCAACGTTGAAGCCACCAACTTTGGCTAAGGCCTAGAGTAACTGACAGGTAATTTACAGAGGCAGGAAATTCATCAAAACTGTCTTACCCTGTCTTGACAAGATTTGACAGTTTTTTTTTCTTGTATCCTGGTTGTCCAGTCTGGACATTGTGCACTGTCAGTTGTCGAGGCATGGGCAGTTCCTTGCCCAAAGGCCAGTTGAGCCAAGAAAAAGACAAAATTCCAAGTAGATTGTCTTTGTTGCTCAACACTCTCTTGGGGATAGATTGGTGCTGCCAGGAGCAATCATGCTTCATGTCAACAGAATCCTAAGTTATTTAAATGATATATTCTACAGAACATTGAGGTGGTTGAAGGTTACCTGTATGCAGAATAGAATCTCTATATATCTTAAGAACCTAATTAGTCTGACTAAAAGAATAACAAATATGACTAATGTAGGGATAAGTCCCGCCCCTTAGGGGGCGTGTTCGCCTCGGGCTAATGTCTGCCTTTAAATTTGGCGAGCGTGCTCCGAGTCTCTTCTGCTTTCCTGGTCTCCGCGGGAACGGTGGTTCTGTAAGTCTATTTCTAAATTAAAACTATATATATTTTTACAATCTGTCTGCATTCGTTTACGCCACTACAGACTAATGACCGATGATACTTACTAACTATAAAACTTAAATGTTAAGACTTCATATCAGAATATTAAAAATCTTTAAACTGTGCAGTAAGGGATGATAATGATGTCATATGTAAATGATATATAAATATCTTAATCAGAGGTAGAAATACATAATGCAATATGATAAATATATCCTAAAATTGTATCAATATACAGAAAATCTCAGACAGGTAGAAACATGCATGCATACAATTACAATATGACAAAATAACTTTGTATAGTGTGCAAATATTGTAAACAGAACTAACAAATATAATTTGATGTTGTATCAATATACAAGAAACTATACCAGTGTAAATTTCATATAAATAATAGCTTACAAGTATTTATTACTCACTTTTTTTACTATTATTAGTGTGAGTAAGTATACACTAAACTACCTATTGCCATTATTTTTAGGTGTACATAATTTCCACTCCAACCTTAACCCTATATGAGTTATATTCAACCCCTAAATGGTGTCTTTACCCATGTGGACAAACTTTGTTGTGAGAAGGGTTGTTTCTTTCTAGAATTGCTTCCTGCTGTCATGGGGGAGATTTTTTTCTATGGGATCCTGTAAAAGTAAAATGATGTTTAAGTTTCAACATTGCTATTTTGTATAATTACAGATGGTCTTTAGTAGATAGGTTGTTTTGTTTTCTTATGACAAGACTTCTCTGTAGCTTTGGAGCCTGTCCTGGAACTAGCTCTTGTAGACCTGGCTGGCCACATACTTACAGAGATCTGCCTGCCTCTGCCTCCCAAGTGCTGGCATTAGGAGCATGCGCCACCACTGCCCACTTACTCTCTCTCTCTTTTTTTTTTCTTATTTTCTTTTAAAGACTTTATACTTTTCTCTCTGAAGCCTACACATACTTTTAAACACACAGTAAATGGTTTTGTGGTTATCTTGGTCTTCGAATCTATCTTTACTGTATACCTCTCTTTTTCTGAACACATTTGTCTTTAATTTGCTGAGTGATATGGCTAGGATGAAATTCTGGGCTTTGATGACTGGATCCAGGCCATTACTAAGCTTTCTGAGATTCCAGCCTCCTGGAGGAGATCCCAGCACCAGTCATGTTTATTGCCACAACTCTAGGACATTTCAAGGTCTCTACCACCACCACAAAACACGTGGTCAGCTTTTCCTCAACACAATTTAAGTGTTTCCTGGCAGGACCTCTTAAAAGGGCTGCAAAGTTTTCAAGCTAAATCTGAATCAAGAGGCTTCTATTAAATGGCACACATTTGCCTCTAGCAAACAGAGCCCACCCGAGAAATTGCTGCTACCAAGAAGCCATGCTTAACTCTATTCCCAAGCTCTCTCAGGTTTTCTGTGGATGTACTTTCCCTATGTTCGGCACTGTTGGCAGAAGTCACAAAATAATCCCACACTAGTTCAGAATCTGAATAATAAAGAGTTATTTATTTAGGGGAGACTTACAGATCACTGTCCTAGGTCACTCTGCTTAAATGGGAAAGAGGTAGAGTCTTGCAGCTGGAAGCAATAGCTGGAAGCAAGAGAGAAAGCACAGGCTTTACAGCTGCATTTATGGTATAAGAGACCACACCCATGTCTGCTGGTATCTTAAAGGTTATTGGCTAAAGGAGTTCCCACAGCGGGAGTGTTTTGTATTGTTTTGTTTTCTTTTATGGTAAGGAGTATGGTTGCTGAAGCCCCTCTTTCAGCCTTTCAATATGGTGGAGACAAATTTACCACTAGCTCTGCAAACCATGTTCACCACCACACCTCCAGCAAGCACTTGCTGCAAGCTTCTCACAAACCCCATAAATGCTCCACACTAGGACTTCCCAAAAGGGCCAGAGCCATTCCTGACATCAGCATGATCCAGGACACCATGTAGTAAAGGAGAAGTGTCTCTGATAGCCACCAGCAAGCAGAGGCTCTCTGAAACATCTTGCTTACCAAGAAGCTCCAGCTGACTCCTGCATTTGTGGGTCTAGAAGCCCCTTTTTAAAGCTTCCTTAGGCTTTACGTAGATGTATGTGGACAAACATTGGGCATCATTATGTAGCTACAAATATTCTCCATTCCTCTGGTCATCCTGGACCAGTTTCTCTCCACCCAACAGGTCCCACTCAGTAACTCCTACAACTGCTTAAGAAATAACCACTCTGAGGCTTAATGTTATTATGTACTCTTTGGCCTATTTGCTCAGACTTCTTATTAGATTACTCTGTATTTTAAACTAATCTATTTCTATTAATCTGTGTATCCCATGAAGGTGTGGTTTATTGGAAAAGTTTTGGCTTCTTTCTCCTTCAGCAGCTTCATGGCACCTCCCTGATTCTGCCTTCTTTCCTCCTCTATCTCTGCTTGGATTTCCTGCCTTGCTATTCCTTATATGAGGCTTTTCCTCTGGATGTCACAGATTATTATGAGAAAAGTTACTTAAGGCAGAAGCAGTATTTCATATCACAATTGAAGAGTCCAGTTCATAGTATTCAGAAGTGTGAAGCTGCTAGTGAGTGACACACTAATAAATAGTAAATGAGACAGTGGGACATCAAGTAATCAAGATAGCATCCCATGATATTCTTCAGTAAATCCTATTGATATAATAACTCAGAGGTTTCTTCAGAAACATACATGCAAGATGATTCTGTATCCTGTCAGTCTGTCAGTGAAAATTAATCATTCTAATTAATATATGTACTCATAGGATCCAGTAAAATTTGAGGATGTGGCAGTGAACTTCATCTCAGAAGAGTGGGCTGTGTTGGATTCTAGTCAAAAGAAGCTCTACAGAGATGTGATGAAGGAAACATTTTTGAACCTGATCTCCATAGGTAAAAAGTACTACATGCTCCCATTGCTTATTCGGTCATTGAACAACTGTGTCCTTGATGTGGGCGTCCCCTCTGTGTCCTGTGATACCATTACTAAGTAAAGAAACTGCCTTGGCCTATTGACAGGGCAGAACTTGGTAGGCAGTGAGGACTGGACTGCATACTGTGAGAAAGGAGGGCGGAGTCAGGGGGACTCCATAGATCTGCTGCTGGACATACATGTGCTAAAACTTTACTGGTAGGCCATAACCTCATGTTGATATACATATTAATAGAAATAGCTTAAATTAAGATGTAATAATTAGCCAATCAGAATCTAGAGCTAATGGGCTAAGCAGTGATTTAATTAATATAGTTTGTGTGTGATAATTTTTTTTTCTGGGCGGTCTGGGTTGCACTGCATGCAACATGTTCTGCTTATGAATGTTATGTTTGTATTGAATTCTTTAATTAAAAATGTGGGCCGGGTTTCAATTTCGTGGCGGGACTAAACGCTCGGATGTTCCCATAGGGATCAAACCTATGGCCTCTGCAATGGAGCAGCCGGGGGAGAAGCCCGCAGCCGAGGCTGAGGACTGCGGAGAGGCGTGGGATCTGCCGCAGGCTGCGGAGAAGTGCTTCGAGGACCGCATCCGCCTGCTGCTCAGGCTAAGAGCACAGAAAAAACAGCAGCTCTTAGAATACAAGTCAGTGATTGATGCAAATGAAGAAAAAACTCCCGAGGAGACCATGCAAGAAAAACAAATGGAAGTTAAAATTGAAGACCTGGAAAAGGAAATTGAAGATGTAAAAAGTAATTTCGAAAAGAAAAATCTGGCACTAAACAGGATGAAACTTTCAGCTGCTCTTAGAAATAACTTGGAGAAGATGGGCACTGAGAGTAGTGTGCTCACTGATGACATGAAGCAAATATTAAAACTACAGAAGTTGATAATGAAGTCCCAGAAGGAGTCTGCGGAATTAGAGGGAAAACTGCTTGACATTAGAAAGAAGAGACTTCAATTAAAACAAGCTGCAAAAACTAAGCTTTTCGAGATACAAACTGAGAAGAACAAAGAGAAAGAGAATCTGGACAACATGGAAGATTTGGAAATGATAAAGACCATGCAGAAAAAGCTGCAGATGGAGATAAAGATTACTACAGTCGTTCAACATGTGTTCCAGGGCCTTATTTTGGGGAGTCAAACCAACTGGGCAGAGGATTCTGCCTTCAAGGAGATTGTGCTGCAGCTGGAGAAGGATCTCACCACGATCTAATAAGAATCCTGCTTCGGCAGCTCAGCAGTGGTTTTGTGCCCAGTGCTGTAAATAGCAGAATTGGTGGGAAATGTAAGAGCTGGTTTGGGAGCTGCTCTGATGCTTCAGCTTGGAGGGCCCAGGTTGCTGTTATGATGTGAAGTCTTCTGTTTGAAACATGACCAAAGTGACTGGAATGCACTGCAGGAGTCTGAGCATTGCAGTCTTGGGAAGGAGGCATCTGGTCCAGCTGCTACAGAATGTGCACATCTTCACCACCATTTTCCTGGGAGTCCCTTCCAGGATGCTTTTGTGCATCTGTGCATTGGCTTATCAACCAGCACACTAGGAAGGATCCAAAGTATGAAATGTTGATTGTTTAAGTACGGTTGTGGATTGTGACTTTTTCTTTTTTTCCCCTTCTCTATTTAGCATGCATTTTACTTTTATAAGTTAATGAATTAAAAGAATAAATGTTACCATCTTATTAATTAAAACAATGTGGTTATTTAGTGTGCATATTATAAGAACTAGGTTGCAATTTTGGTTGCAATAATTTTTATGTTGAATATGAATGTGTCATAATGTATTCTCTGGATTTTGTTGTAGAAAAAGCACTAGAAGAAAATATTGAAGAGGACTATAAAAATCTCAGCAGGAATATGGGGTAATTTATATTCACTAGAAAATAAATCATATTATACATTTGGGACTCAGGGGACAACTGAGAACATGCCTAGTGCTCCAAATATAACTAAGTGAAAAATGATCTTACACAAATTCCTCTAATTAATATTTAATATTTGAGTATTTTATGTTTGTTATCTATTATTATCGCAAATATGTCATGTGATAATGAGGCTGAAAAAAGGTTTTCACTGGATTATTACACAAAACACCCCGTCATGTGCAAAAGGTTTTACTTTCTGATCATACTTATGAGGCTTTGAGCATTAGTACTGTGCTTTGTTTGCTTACTTTTGCTGTGACAAAAAAAGAATTCTGGGGTAGAGGACATTTTCAAACTTCCTTGTCAGAATACCATCATATTGGGAAGCCAGGGCAGGAACCAAGTATGACATGAATCTGGAAACAGGCACAGAATCAGAATTGATGGAGAATCCTGTTTACTGGAGTGATCTTTCTCCCTTTATCAGCTACCTGCCCTCTAAGGGATACCACCCATAGTGAACTGGGCCACCCCACCTCATACAGTGATCAAGACAAAGCGGCCAGAGACATGTCCAAATGTGAATCTTATAAAGTCATTTTTTGCTGTCTATTTCATTCGCAAATGGGGGTTCTAGTTTGTGTCAAAACTAATTAGCAGATACATTTCATACACAGAGCCTGAAATCCTGCCCATTGGCACACTATGCAACATGGTCAGCCCCCCTTGATTGGGAATGTGAAAATGGCTTCACAGACTTGTTTTCAGGCCAGTCTGATTGAGTCATTTATCAATTGACAGACGCTATGCCCCATGATCATTTCCCCTCCTGTTCACTCGTTTTGTACGATTATTTTATATATCTTTGTATCTGAGTTGTGTTTTTATACAAAAACTTTTGTGGAAGGCAGAAAATGCAAGAAATTCTTCATGTCAAGTATATCAGAATTTGTGAACTCTTCACATGAATCTTTGTCATTAAATCTGGTTTGCTGAAATATTGAGAATTATTCTTAAACCCAAGCCTGTGATACAGCTCCTTTTAATTCTTATAGAAGTAACATTAGTCCTCTACTTCTTTACACAGAAAGAAGTCTCACCATGAAATACATCTTGTCTTGACATTGATACCATTATTTTATTCCCTCTGAGGTTCTACAGTTATGTTCCAGAGAGGCTAACCTACAATATTTCTCTTGTCTAAAGTATTGCTTTTTTCATTCTTTGCAGAGTTCAGAGGATTGAGAAAGACCATGGAAATGAATGTCATAATGAGTGTGATAAAAACCAGCAAGCTAGTCCAGGGAGTATGATCAATAACATCTTGCCTTCCAGAGTAAGAGTTCATAAGACTCCATTGCTTGTAACAAATATCATTGGTGATTTATCCTTACATGGGTATCTCAGAGAAAAAGATAGAGGGAAACCACCACTGTATAAGGGAGCTGTGGCAATAGCTTTTAAACATCAGAAACATTGGAAAGTTGATGGAGGAAGGTCATTGGTTAATTATAATAAAGAAACTGCTTGGCTCTCATAGGTTAAAACATAGGTGGGTGGAGTAAACAGAACAGAATGCTGGGAGGAAGAGCAAGTGAGCTCAGACTCGACAGCTGTGCTCTCTGGAGCAGAGAGACACCATGCTCCCCTCTCCTGGGCAGACACATAGCTCTGCTCTCTGAGGCACACGCGATGAAGCTCCGACCCAGGATGGACGTAGGCTAGAATCTCCCTGGTAAGCCACCTCGTGGGCTACACAATTATTAGAAATGCGCTAGTCCAGGTGCGAAAATTAGCCTAGAAGAGGCTAGATAGAAATGGGCCAAACAGTGTTTAAAAGAATACAGTTTGTATGTTGTTATTTCAGAGCATAAACTAGCCAGGGGGCCAGAATGCTGGGGATGCAGCGCTGCTGCTCCTATTACAACAGAATGGTGCCCAACGTGGGGCGCCAATTGAAGGCGTAAGTCACAAACAATGCCACACCAGTTTGGAATTATGATTAATAGGGTGGTATTTATTTAAAGGGGAAAAAACTTACAGATCACCGTCCCAGACAACAGCCTTCTGCGCAACCAGGAAGGGAGTCTAGTCGCCAGCGGAGCAGGAAGTGAAGAGAGTGAGGAGAGGGAAGTGGCCGCTTTTTTAAAGGGAGAGAGTCCACGCCCCAATGGGCTGGTATCTCAGTGGCTATAGGCTGGAGTGGAAGGATGTCCCGCAACAGAAAGTAATCAGTTATTCTGAATCTTTTCAGGTAGTTGAAACTTCTCCTGAAGAGAAACTCAGGAAAAAACAATGTAAAGAAGCCTGTAGAAGTCTGTGCTTAGATCAGCCTCAGGAGAGAACTTATACTGGAGATAAACTCAATGAGGATGTGTTCATGAGATACACACGTGGACAGAATGATGAACAAAACCATAAAGAAGTGGAACAATTTGTATGTAGTTTCTGTGAAGAATCCTTCATTGATTCCAGTGAGCTTTCCAAGCATGAAAAAAGTCATATTGAAGAGGAAAGGTACATTTATAGGCAATGTGGCCAAACATTTAAATATAAAACATGTTTTGAGAAACAAAAAGTAACTCACAAAGGAGAGAAGCCATATGCTTCTATACATTATGGAAAAGCCTTCACCCAATTCAATCATCATAACAGTCATGAAGGCAGTTACACTGGACAAAAGCATTATGCCTGCAAGCATTGTGGAAAAAACTTCACCAGTTCTTCTTATCGAAACATTCATGAAAGAATTCACACTGGAGAAAAACCTTATGCGTGCAAGCATTGTGGAAAAGCCTTCAACAACCGCAGTACTCGTAATATACATGAGAGGAGCCACACTGGAGAGAAACCTTATGCATGTAAGCATTGTGGAAAAAACTTCACCAGTTCTTCTTATCAAAACCTTCATGAAAGAATTCACACTGGAGAAAAACTTTATGCATGTAAGCATTGTGGAAAAGCCTTCAACCACCGCAGTACTCATAATATACATGAGAGGAGCCACACTGGAGAGAAACCTTATGCATGTAAGCATTGTGGAAAAACTTTCACCAGTTCTTCTTATCGAAACCTTCATGAAAGAATTCACACTGGAGAGAAAACTTATGCATGTAAGCATTGTGGAAAAGCCTTCAACAACCGCAGTAGTCATAACAAACACGAGAGGAGACACACTGCAGAGAAACCTTATGCATGTAAGCATTGTGGAAAAAACTTCACCAGTTCTTCTTATCTAAACATTCATGAAAGAATTCACACGGGAGAGAAACCTTATGCATGTGAGCATTGTGGAAAAGCATACAGCACTTCCAGTACTTGTCATTTTCATGAAAGAATGCACACGGCAGAGAGAAATCATACATGCAAGCATTGCGGAAAAGCCTTTTTCTGTCTCAAGCATCTGAAAAGGCATGAAATAATTCACACTGGAAAAACGCCTTTTGCATGTAAGCATTGTGGAAAAGCCTTCAACCACTCCAGTAATTGTAACAGACATGAGAGTAACCACACTGCAGAGAAACCTTATGCATGTAAGCATTGTGGGAAAAAGTTTGCCAGTTCTTTTTCTCGAAACATTCATGAAAATATTCACACTGGAGAGAAACCTTATGCATGTAAGCATTGTGGAAAAACCTTCAACAGTCCCAATAGTCGTAAGAAACATGAACGTATGCACACTGCAGAGAAACCTTCTGAATGAGCATTGTGGAAAAGCCTTCAACGAATCCAGGAGGTGTAACAGACATTAAAGGAACCACACTATAAAGAAACTGAAGACTTATACATGCAAACACTGTGGAAAAACTGTTTCTGGTGTAGACATCTGAACATTCATGAAGTAATTCACACTGACAAAAGCCTTATTATGTAAGCATTGTGGAATATCATTCAACAACCCCAGTAGTTGTAATAGACGTGGAAGGAGTCACACTGCAGAGAAACCTTTTTCATGTAGGCGTTGTGAAAACTCCTATACCAGTTTCAGTTCTTGTAAGACTCATGAAAAGAGTTCTTATTAAAGAGAATTTGTGTACATTTAAGCAGTGTGAAAAAGTGTTTACCTGCTCCAATCACCTGAACATTCATGAAAAGATTCACATGGGGGAAAAGTCTTGAGCATGTAAACATACAAGAAAAGCCTTCTGTGACATCAGTCGTCATAACATACATGAATGAAGTCACACTTTAGAGAAGCCTTATTCATGTAAGTATTGTGCAAAACCCTTCACCAATTTCTATTCATGAAGGTTCAGGAAAGAGATCATACTGAAGAGAAGTGCTATGCATGTACGCATTGTGGAAAACATTTACCCCCTCCGGTCAGCTGAACATCCAGGAAAGGGTTCATACTGGAGAGATGGCTTTTGCATGTATACATTACAGGAAACCTTTTAACACTTCAATTTGTCCTGATTTCATGAAAAACAATCATACTGGAGAGGAACTCTTTGTGTGTAAAAGATGTGGAAACTATGCATTCTGTAGACTTTAACAGGCATAAAAGAGTTCACTTGATAGTAAAGCCTTATGCACACAAGAATTGTGGAAAAGCCTTCAACTGCTCTTGTGATCATAACAGATCTGAAACTCTTCACACTAGTCAGTAGCCTAATGTGTGTAACCATTGTCAGAAAGCCTTTACGAGATTCACTTGGTCCAAGAGTAAATACATTCACACTGGATAGAAACCTTTTGTATGTACATGGAAAAAAACTATTTCTTTGTTCTTGTGATTCTATAACAAGCATAAAGTTCTCACACAGTGTCTGTAATGTGGGAAAGTCTTTAGCACATCCAGTTTCTGTAATCCTCATGCACAGTTTGAAGATAGATTTACATGTACATCCATGTAGAAATTTTTTTCTCAATCACAGTTCCTACTATACTCAATTACTTTTTCACTTTTGAGAATCTGTTTAGAATAAATGTGGGAAAATATTCAAAGTGTTTAAAATGAATAAAATGTAAAAGGTTTTTTTGGTAGTGTTTTCTGTAATTTCTGTGTTTTACATCTCTGTTCAAGTCCATAGTGATCTCACAGTGAAAGGAAGTACAGTGTGTAGAACAAATACCAGTAATAACTCTGTAATGCTGTGTTGATAAAATCACTTATGTTGTGAGTAATGGAAGAAGAATGTGCTAGGACCATGAGATGTATCAGCCAGTCATGATTTGTCCCAGTAAATGTGAAGATCTGCCTCCCTGGATCTTATGTGGTGGAAATAATGTCTCAGTTCCAGAAGCTGTCTTCTAAGAATCACATGTACACTTCCTAATGAACACAGAGATAGAAAGAGAAAAAGGATGAGAGAGAGAAGTCTGGAGTTTACTTTCTTTATGCCAAAAACATTGGGGAAAAACTGCCCTTAATTGCTGGCAATATACTGTCCAGACTGGATTAGTAGGATACAAATAAACTGCCAAACTTTCCCAAGATATGACAGCCATTCAAAATGCCCTGCTTCACAAAAATTTCTGTCATACATACTAGCCTATAGGCCAAAGATGGGTGCCCCTTCATTACAGAAGAACTTTGAATGCCTGTTTTGGTAGCCTGATGTCCCTGTTTTTAGGCAGATTTTTACCCTTTTGGGATCTTAACTGAGTTAAAGTTTCATAATTAGAATTAATTTTTTCTAATGGTAAAAGTAAATTAAATATAAAACTTTATACTCCCAAGGATAGATAATTAAATACATTCTCTAATTTTGTCAAATGCAAATGGAGTGGACATTGTAAATGTAATTTTTACATAATAACTTTTTGTTGTATATAGTGTTACTATGCTAACGTTAAAACCTTCCTTTTATATGAGACAAAAAAAAGAGAGATGCTGTACACTGATGATTTTTCACTCAGGTTGGTTTTGTAGAAACTTGATTGGCCAGTAGCCAGGTAGGAAATGTAGGCATAACAACCAAACTAAGGACACTGGGTAGAAAGGTGGAGACAAGCTGAAGGAGAGATAAAGCCACGTGCCATGTGGCAATATATAAATAAATAGAAATGTTTTGGAACCTAATGGAGTCCTGGCCTTCCTACTTACCTCGCCTGTAGATGACCTTTCTTGCCCTTGTTCTTCTGGGTTTCTGAGAAACTTGCAAGTTTCCTGGTCTGAGAGTTGCTTAACAACTCTGCTTCCTGAGTACACATTTTCTTGGCCCTAACCCGAGGACCTGGCAATAAGGTCTCCATCCTGTTGGCCTATCTGTCTGGGTTAGGTAAAAACCCCCCTTGGTGATGTACAATAAAGGCTTCTAGTTCTGCAATATCAAAAGTGTCTTTTCCTTAATCCTGATGTCCTTCCCTAGGATTTTGCACTAGCTGCACTGGTGCAGCAGAAATGGGTTGTAAGAGCTAGCTACTAATAAGCCTGAGCTATAAGCCAAGAATTTAAAATTTAAACGTGTCTGTGCTTATTTAGGATTGGGCTTATTGAAAACAAAAACTCTGTCTACATTATAATCATGATATGTAATGCGTACACACTTATAAATTTATACATACATAAGTATGTGTGTATATATATGAAGTTATGCCATTTGGCATGACAGTTCCTAAACCAAAGAACCCCACATTCATAAACAAATCACCAATATCAGACAGAATAAATCTTCATTTGAGTTGTCCATGATAGTTATTTAGTTCCCTCAGAAATTTAGGGTAATTTTTTTTCTTTTGGTCATCTCTCTGAGGCTGAATGGAGTCCTATTAACTGAAACCATTGCACATTTTGAATCCAGGGTGAAACAGTTGAACTCGAGATAAAACTAAATTCACCCTTATTTAAAGTTTCATAGAAAGTTTCTCAGTGAGAGAAGCAGTCAAAATCCTTCGTCAATTTTTAACTCTTTTTGTGGTTTGATTAAGAATGGCCCCCAAGGCTCATGGTGGCACATAAATCTCTTTGATTGAAGGTCAAAGGCATTCAGTGTTTTCTCTAGACTTCAGAAAACACAATCTGTTAGCTCTGATCATGTACTGATACATTTTTATTGTCCACTTGATTCAAAGTCATATCACCTTGGAAGAAGGAGCTTTAATTTGGAAACTATTTTGCACAGATGGGCCTGTGGCCATGTTTGTGAAGGATACTTTTAATTGATCTTGGAGGGCCTAATCCAGAATGGTCAACACCATCACTACAAAGGTGGATCTGGCTTATATAAGAATATTAACTAATACTTCTATACATCCTGCCCTGGCTTCCATCAATGACGGTTTGTGACCAGAAACATTAAGTTAAATGAATACTTCCTTGCACTCAGTTGCTTTTATTCATGATACTTATTACAGGAACAAAAAGCAAAAAAAAATAGTAATTTATAGATGTATACTACATCACAGAATATTCAACAATATTGTCGGAGCATTTAAAATCATCAAATACCAGTTTAATTGAGAAAAACGAAAATGAGAGGTTTGGTATAAGAAGGAACATTTGTAAAGCTCCTGTTCATTCTTTTTTTGCTTACAGTTTGAGGAGGGGGGATGTACATTCAGAGACTTTCTAAATTTAGAGTAATTTAATCGATGGATAAATGTATCTGTAACTCCTCAATCTTTTTAAGTGTTTTTTTTTTATGTTACATATTTCCAGTGCCCACTTCCTCCCTTTTTCCACCATCGACCTCTGCCCATCCCATTCCCCATCCACTCCTCAGAGTTTGTAAGCCTCCCTTTGGGAGAAAACAATGTCTGATATACCAATTTGAGATAGGACAAAGATCCACCCCCTATATAAGTCTGAGCAAGTTGTTCCACCATAGGGAATGGGTTACAAAGGCCCACTCATGTACCCAGGGTAAGTCCTGGTCCCACAGTCATGGGTTCCCCAAACAGAACAAGACTGTCACACACATTCAGCAGACTTAGTTTAGTCCCATGTAGAATCCCTAACTGTCAATCTTGGGTAAATGAGCTACGACTAATTGGGTCACTTGTCTTTGTGCTTTTCTCAGTGATGATCTTGTTGCCTCTTACTCAGATGATCCCTCCTCCTTCTCTTCAACTAATTTCCAGGAGCTCAGCCCAGTGCTTCACTCTGGGTCTGTGCTTCTTCTTCCATCGTTAGTGGATGCAGGTTCAATGATGACAATTATTATAGTCACCAATTGGATTATAGGAGAAATTCAGTTCAAGTACCCTCTCCACTAATTCTAGGAGTCTTAGCTTGGGTCATTTTTGTGAATTCCTGGCAATTTCCCTAACACCTGGTAGAGAGAGAACATGCAAATTTACAAGATCAGAAATGAAAAGGGGGACATAACCACAGATGCAGAAGAAATTCAGAGAATCATTAGATCTTACTATAAAAGCCTGTATGCCACAAAAATGGAGAATGTGAAAGAAATGGACACTTTTAGATACGTACCATATACCAAAATTAAATCAAGACCAGGTGAACAGTTTAAGTAGACGTGTAAGTCGCGAGGAATTGGAAGCTGTCATCAGAAACCTCCCTACCAAAAAAAGCCCTGGACCAGATGGTTTCAATGCAGAATTCTACCAGAACTTCCAAGAAGAGCTAATACCTATATTCCTTAATGTGTTTCACAGAATAGAAACAGAAGAGTCATTGCTAAACTCCTTTTATGAAGCTACAGTCACCCTAATACCAAAACCACAGGAAGACTTTACCAGAAAAGAAAACTACAGATCAATCTCACTCATGAACATCGATGCAAAAATTCTCAATAA